GTATCATGATATTGGGATGATAATGATGGACAAAGAAGGAAAATTGAGGTGTAGAAAACTTAACAATAAAAATGTGCGAGAGGTTTTATCCATGGTGATAATTGAATATGATATGCCCTATTCCATGGTTGAATATAAATGATTCAAGTGTTATTCTTTAATGTTGAATCCTAGTATAAAGTGCATTACTTGAAAAATAACCGTGTCTAATGTTATAAAAATCTATCAAGGGCATAAAGAATTGTTGAAGCAAAAATTGTCAAAAAATGTTGGACGAATTTGTTTAATATCTCGTTGTCAGATTGCTATAACCTTTGAAGTTTATTTATGCTTGGCTGCTCATTTTGTTGATGAAAATTTAAAATTGAACAGGAAAATACTTTCTTTTCATAAGATAGAGCCTCCATATTCTGGAAAAGAACTAGCTAGAAAAGTGTATGATTGTTTGATTAATAGGGAAATTACTAAGAAAGTATTTTCTATCACTTTAGATAATGCCTCTGCAAATGATAATATACAAGAAATTTTGAAACAAAGTTAGCTTTACAAGATAATGGCTTGATTTGTAATGGAGATTTTTTTCATCAAAGCTGTTATGCCCATACCTTAAATTTAATAGTTCAAGAGGGTTTGAAAGTGACAAGTGCTGCTCTAAACAAAATTAGAGATAGCATTAAGTATGTCAAACAATCAGAGGTAAGTACAATTGCTTTCAAAAAATGTGTTTAAGAGGTTGGTGGCATTGATAGTTTAATTGGCTTGAGGATAGAATGTGCCTACTAAATAAATTCTACTTTTGCAATGCTTGAGAGTGGATTACAATACCGTTAAGCTTATACTAGCTTTGCATATGTTGATAATAATTTCATTCATTGCCCAACATATAAAGAGGAGAAGAGAGAAGAAGAGATGTGTAATTTCTTGAGGCCATTTGATGTTATAATAAGGTTGATGTTTGGGACATCTTATCCTACATCAAACTTATATTTTGCTCAAGTATCAAAAATTCAATATTGTTAGATGATAATATGGTAAATGGTGATTTTGTGATACAAGAAATGGCTCAAAAAATAAAAGAAAAGTTTGACAACTATTAGAATGATTATAGTACTATCCTTGCAATTGCAGCTGTCCTTGATCCATGAATGAAAATTCAAATGATATAATATATGTATGCAAGGATTGATCCTATAAATTGCCCTGCTAAGATTGGGAGTATTTAAAGCAAGTTAAAATATATTTTTAATCAATACAAAGAGATGGATGCTTTTTCCTCTAATTTTAGATCAAGTTCAACAATTTCAATACAAGCAAATCAAGTTCAATCCTCCACTGCTTTTAGTATTTTAGCTTCAAGCATAACTAGCAATGTTCCAAGGGCTTTAGATGTAAGTTTAATTTCATGTTATTATTAATCTTATTGTTTTAATTTAATTTATTATTTGGTATTTTATTAAATTTTTACATGTTATAGGATTGGATTAATTATATAAGCACGGATGTTATGTTCGTTGAAAAGTTTGAGTTAGAATTTTATTTGGATGAGGCAATACTTCAACCCCAAGTGTGTTGAGATTTAGACGTGCTCAATTGGTGGAACACTAATAAGGGTAGATTTTCTATCCTTTCAAAAATGATAGCCGATATACTTAGCATTCCTATCACTACAGTGGCAAGTGAATCAACTTTTAGTATTGGCTCACGTGTTCTCACCAAATATCGAAGCGGTCTTCTTCCTTTTAATTTTTAAGCTCTTATTTGCGCTCGTAATTGGTTTAGTAGTTTTCAATATAATAGTAATATAAATTTTAAATATCTGATTATTTTGTTATATAATTATTAAGTAAAATTTGATTTCATTCAATTATAATTTTAAAATTTTTCCTTTGTTGGTATGTTACAGATAGTGAAGAAAAAGAGAGGATTGAGGAAGAAGAGGTAGTGCAAGAGGAAAAGGGAGAGGAAGAGGAAGAGGATGAATCACTTGAACATAATCTACATATGGATTTGTCTGCTATTGAGAGTGCAAATATAGTTTTGGATGGCGATGATGAACAGGAAGAGCCACAGGACTTGGATTTGTTTTAAATTTGATTTGTATTGTTGATTATTGTTATGTTTTAACTTTAATGTCATGTTGAATGTGTTGTTATTTTATTAGATAATTTATTTTGGATGTCAAACTAGTATGGTGAGCTTGCTTTGTTAGCTTGGATAGTTAAAAAAAATAGTATCGATGCATATTGGATTATTACTTTAATGTAATTAGGTGAAAAAAAGCATCAAAATCACAACAAAAACAAAACATATACAACACGAGTATTCAGGCCAGCCTGAAGCCTGAAATAATTTGAGCCGGGCTTATAGAGATAGCGAGCCTCTTTAGGTTTAGGCTTATTCAGGTTAAGCCTATTCGAGCTCAGCCTGAATAGGCCCGATCGCCCAAATTTCAACTTTAAATTCATACCTCCCTTATATCCTCATTATTCTTCTGATATAAGACTGTATGTTATAACATAATAAGATAATCTATAATCTAAGGCTTCTCTAGTCTAAACACTTATAAAGGGATTACTTAGCTAAGGCTCACCTAACTCACTTGTGAAACACAGTTTCCCTCATTTTCTCACACTATAGGGTGTTATTCTCCTTAAATTAGCTTCCTCATTGAACCACTGGATAGTTAGCTAGGTTCAAGTCCTTTGTTAAACCAATGGGATAGTCCTTCATTGAACAAGTGAGACAATATGTATGTAAACTATCTGAGCAAGCCATCAAGTCAGATGGGAGCCCTACTATATGGATTTAATTCTCTACTCCTCTTCCTAGGTGAATGCCTGCCTCTCATGATCATGTAATGCATATATTATGTAACATTTTAAGGCATGCAATTACTTAATGTCAAGCATGCACAACACATCATCGTACCCAAAAATCACATCAACAAATACAATTCAATCATTGAGCTCCTCATATTCATTGAACTCCTCAACTTTACTTTTCATTGAACTCCATAATATATAAATCATTGAACTTCTCTAATTCACAAGCATTGTACCCTATCACTATTCACATCATTGGGCTCTAAATAAAACAAATCATTGAACTCTAATTTAATCATTTAACTCCACATTATTGAACTCTTAATTAAACAAGTCATTGCATTCCATGTTTTCATAATCATTGTACCTCACCCATTAGCAATCATTAAACTCTAAAATTTTAAAATCATTGAACTAAATTAAATCACCACTTCATAGTAGGCTATTCAAGCAAAGCAAGCCACATTTTCATTTTAATCAAATCACGCAATTCAATTATCAAATATTGATCAATAAACTTATTAATACATAAAAGTACAAGATAGAATTCCTTCAATCACCTCAAATTTTTAAAAGGTTAAAGGTTTCACCCTTCAATTACTCACTCCTAAAGCTTTCAAGAAATTTAAATGGTGCCAATAAGGATGTTGTACAAGCATTTCTAATATAATTCATCAATATTTATAGTTGAACTAATTTTCACTATTAACTTAACACTTCTTCATGCTCAAGATTCATTTTATACTCATAAAAATATCCATAAAATTTCTTAGCTTCTTTTAACCCTCATTAATCTCATTGAGCTTTTGAATTGCCATTTATGGGACCACATTGTTCCCAAAGAATTTATTTATGTGAAATTCTAACCACCAATCATTATAAATTTATAAATACCAAGTTTCATTAGCTCAATTTACTCCCATTAATTTTATTTAAGTTAATGGGATCGAACTTATAGCCTATATAGACTGAAAATCATCATTATCAACCAAACCCTAACTTCTACCATTAAAAAAATGGAAGAAGAAAGGAGGATTTAAGTGCAGGAAGCTTATCTATTTATGAACTCCAAAACACTCTTAATAGTCAAACTCTTCAAACTCTAGCACAGTTCTTCAAATGCTTTTTCAAATTTCTCTCATTCTTCTCCTTTTCGCGAGCTGCAAAACAAGCTTATTTATGCAAAAAATTGTCCATGCACTGCGGCGAACACACAATACGCTGCAGCACATGGCATTGAGAGCATCCCTCTAGGCATGTCAAGGCATACATGCCACGGCGACCTGATCCACAAGCCGCGATGGGTGGCATAAAACCATCCCCTTCAGATTTTTTTTTCTTTTCATTCCTGAATGACCCAATTCTCTTTTGGACGTGTGTTTAGTGTTGAAATTGAAACTAAACATGCTTGTTAGGCTTCTCAGACCACACACCTCGCCAGTACACTTAATTAATCTAATCAAGCTTAATCAATCTAGTTTAAAATTGAGGATGTTACAATTCTCCCCTCCTTTTATGAATTTCATCCCCAAAATTCATATAATTACTGAAGACATACCTCATGAAAATAGTTGGGGATTTTTATGTTTTCTTCCTATCTCAAGTCTTATATACTTAAAAGGGGAAATTATTCTCAAAGTCCTATGCAAGCAATCTAAATACAATTTTTTTTATAAAATCACAAAATTACTTTGAAACCATGTGTTTGTTTTCCCCCTTTCAAATTGTCAAATTTATTATATTGAGATTGGTAATTACTGCTGCATAGTTCCCAGAAGAATTGTATAGTTAACAATTAAGCAATGATAATTAATAACTATCCTGTAATGAGTAATAATTTAAATAAATGGTATGGAATTTTAGATTAATTAATTATTTGATTTCATGGAGATTTTTTTTTATTTATGATGTTTTTGTCATTAATCATACTTTCATATATTGATGTGCTAATCCTAACCACACAAGCATAAACAAAGACTCTCCTACCTCTGTTTTCCCGGTTTTTGTATTAAAAAACAGAGGGCAACAACCACGGTCAAAAAAACTTCACCTTTTCATTCACTCTTTGCTTGTAAGTTTGATTTCAAGCTAATGTTTTTATCTATGTACGTGTGTGCGCGGAGCTTCGATGACGGACAATAGTAAGATATGTGGGTAACGATTTAATGCATAAATGAGTAGAAACAATAATACATACATTATTAGCATAGAACAGTGACGACAAGATGGGTTGTACGAAATTATACAAAATCTAAATTCTTAATTAAAAACAGAATCTGAATTCTTAATCATTGAATTACATTACAACGGATAGAAATGGAGCCACCTTTGAAACATCTCGTAACATTCTCTACGGTAAAATTCTGGAGCTGTGTGACCACCACGCTGAACAATATTTAATTAATTATTGGTGTCAACTCACATTATACATATATATAATTTGGAAATAAAAATTATATAAAAAATCTTAAATATCAAAATAATACTATATAACAGCCACATTCTTACCTTTACTATTGCATATGTTAATCGATATCCATACGCCTCCTGATCGAACTTTTTGGTATATCTGATATTAGACGCAGACACATTAAAAAGAAGCACGAACAATTAAGCAATAATTAATTAATATTCAGAAATTAATTCCAAGTTGAAATAAATTGATGAGACAATATACATACCCTGCAACTTGACCATCCACGTACCAAGGTCGCCATTTATAAGAGACAGTCAAGTTTAGAATCTTAAGCCATGTTTGTGCTGCCACGATTGGCACCACCAAGTCATGGTCTCCACTGTGCCAATTAAATTAATAAATTACTCAGATTTTCATAATTATTTGAAATTAATTGAGAGTGGAATTGATTAGATGAATTACACATCGAGGAGAACTTCCAAGGGCCTCTGACTGAGCCACATGTGGACGTCAATAACACTTTGGATATCTTTTGTGTATGAGATTGTTTGGTTGCAATGTGACCAGTACTTTACTGTACCCTTTAAAATCACATAGTAAATTATAAATTAGACGTTTTCTCAAAAAAAGAAAAAAAATAGACCTTCTCGCACACATTAATTGCTCAAATATATACATTAATTGGTGTGGGTGTAAGATGGATACATATGATATGTATGTATACCTTTCTAACGTGCAAGGCTTCTTGGACACCAGGATCATTTGCCCAATTGTAAGCTAATGCGTAGTTAAAAGCCTATGCAAAACAAGACAACCAAGTTTCTTGTCATATAAATTAAAGCACATTATTCTCTTCAAACTAAAATTGGACAAAAGGCAATACAAAAATAATAGGAACAATGATATTTAAGGGCCCTTTAGGAGTATTAATTATAATTAAGGACTCTAAAATTTTAAAATTTTAAAATATTTGTAGTCCTTGGTTGGAATTAAAATTTTTCTATAATTGAACTTCTTCAGAACCCATCTTTCATATTTTCAGCACTCAATTTTAAAGTTTTCAGTACTTGTGTTTCACATTTATATTATTTATCTTTAGCATCTTGGGTACTCAATTGTTTAATTTTTAATAGCCATCTTAGATCTTTTCAATACTTATTTACTATATTTTAAACACTTATCTTTTATTCTTTCCAATATTGAAAAATGGCATGAAAGATGAGTATTGAAAATATTTAAAATGACTATTAAAAAAATTAAAAATATAAATACTAAAAATATAAAAGATGAGTACTGAAAAAATTAACTCAAAATTTTTTTAATTCCCACCAAAGAGCATGACTCTTATCTAAAATTTCAAAATTTACAGGTCACTAAATGTAATTAACATTTTTAGTGAGTCTGTAAATGTCATTTTCCAAAAACATTATTAATTTAACAGTATCAATGGAAGAGGATAATAAGTAAATCAACTACTATTATATTACTTCTGAGTAATTTGAAAAAAAAAACAAGTTAAAATTTACCCGACACCGAAGATCTGAGGGAACTTTTGGTGGCGAAAGCAGAAATTGTTGTTCATCACTACTTTGATCTACAAGCGATTTTCTAACACTTAGTGGTAGTTCTGGTCTTGGAGATGCAAATGCACAATTTGGTTCCAATGGGTCAATAGTCAATATTCCTTCTATGTTCTGCCCATTTATTCACAGTATAATCAACATTAGTATTTCTTAATTATGGATTGTTCATTTGTTATTATTCAAGAAAATCCTAAATTAATTGAATATTAAGATTCACTTTTTCGTATTTGGAGAGAGCAGTAAGACAAGCCGTGTTATGAAAAAATGGAAACTCGGTTTTATGCATGGAGAGACTCGGTTTTATGCATGGAGAGACTCGGTTTTCTCATAAAGGATGCTTGTGCTATGAAAAAATGGAAACCACTCAGATTCTCCTCAAGAGGACCTTTTATCTCCCATCTCTTCTTTGCCGATGATCTCATTTTATTTGCAGAAGCTTCCTCCGATCAAATGCATCTGATTAAAGATATCATGGCAAAGTTCTGCCTTGCTTCTGGCCACAAGATTAATTTGGCAAAATCTAAAGCGTTCAGCTCAAAAAATGTGCATTTCAATCGTGGCCGGGCCCTTTGTCAGATCTTAGGTATTGATCTCACAGCTGATTTAGGCAAATACTTGGGGGTGCCTTTAATTCATTCACGAGTAACTAAGCTGACATTTGCACCTATACTCCAAAAAGTCCAGCAAAAGCTCTCTTCTTGGCAAGGACGTTTTTTGAATATAGCTGGTCGCTCAGTTCTTATTAAATCAGTTCTTTCAGCGGTTCCTTACTACTTCATGCAATCTCTGCTTATTCCTAAGGGCATCATCAAAGAAATTGAAGGATATAGCAAAAGATTCCTTTGGTCTCAAAACCCATCCAAACGGAAAATGCACTTAATATCTTAGAAGATGGCAAAGGAGAGCAAACAACATGGAGGAATAGGATTCAAGGACTTATTCAGTCAGAATAGGGCTTTCATCATGAAACTTTGTTGGAAATTAAAGATGCTTGAAAGCCAAATATAGATGTGAAGACAATCCTATTATGTCTATATGCAAGAAACGCAGCCCTTCACGGATTTGGAAGAGCATTATGACTGTCTTGGACTCTTTTTCCTTAGGTATTGGCTGAAAAATGGGAAATGGTCTTAATACGAGATGTTGGTGGGATCTATGGTCCCCTTTGAATCGTCCCCTTATCACTTTTGTAGACAAAAATCATCATCTGCTTAATCCTTGTGCATCAGTCAAAGACTTTGTTCTCCCTAATGGCTTTTAGAATATTAATGCATGGAAATGCTTCCTACCGGATTGGGTTGTGAATAAAATTTGTTCTATACCTCCCCCTTATTCCACTAATGAAGATTCTTACTGTTGGAGACTGCAGATGGCAGGTTCAGTGTAAAATCTGCCTACAAATTTATCTATCATAACAGTGCACCTGTGGGAGATCCCATTTGGAAAAGAATTTGGAAATGGCAGATCCCGGAGAAAATTAAATTTTTCCTTTGGCAAGCACTTCATGAGAGATTAAACACTAACTCACTCAGAGCTAATCTTGGGCTTTCACCCACTGGTGAATGCCCCTTTGAGTGTCATACACATTATTCGTGACTGTCAAATTGCCCAGGATTTTTGGAAACACTTGATTTCGACTAACCATTACTCTAGCTTCTTTCAATGCAATTTGCAGGTTTGGTTCAACTGGAACTCCAAGAACAATCCGGCCAATAATACCTTCTCCAAATGGCCTTGGACGAGAATATTTGGATTGGGATGCTGGCTACTGTGGAAAAATAGGTGTAAAGCCATTTTTGAAGGAGCAAGACTTACCACCCAAGAGCTAGTTCATAGCTGCCTCTTTCACATTCATGAACATGTAGCCTCCGGGAATCTCAAACATGTTGTTTTTCCCAATCTCGTTGCAATGGAGAATACTTGGATGCCACCACCAGAAAATACTGTAAGAGTTGATGTGGATGCTTCAATATCACCTTGGAAGAATGCCTCATGTGGTGGTTTGATTCGGAATAACAAAGGTGAATGGATCTGTGGATTTACAAGTGCAGTGGGAGATGTTCCAATCGTGCTTGCAGAAATGATGGCCATCAAAACTGGACTTGAGGTCGCCTTCCAACTTGGATTCAACAAAATTATTCTATATTCTGACTCACTGAATGCTATTAACATGATACTACGAGACTATGTAGTAGATCATTCTTGGAGGACTGATATCAATGATATACGAGATCTCATTTACAGCAACAGAGAGGTGGAGATTCACCATGCTTACCGAGAAGTGCTGCAATGTGCTGATTATTTGGCAAAACATAGCCATCAGACTAATACAATAGTTGAATTCCTTCATGTAATACCACCTGATTTGCACGCAATGTTGCGTGAAGATAGTTCAAACATTATTTAGTTTGTTGTACTTTCTTCAAGCCTCAGGCTTGCCTTTCCATTCAAAAAAAAAAAAAAAAGTAAGACAAGCCGTGTTGGATGGATCCACGTCAACAAAGTTCTGCTTGCAACTTATTTTCAATTCCTGTTGGCAAGCATTGTGATTAACCAAACACATCATTAATTTTATTTGTCTATGTATGATTATATTTAAATATTCAAATAATAAATATAAATAGGTTTTTTAAAACCTCGTAGAGTTGGTCTGATACGAGAGCCAATCGATGAGCTAAGATGACTCTTGAATTCACGTTGATATGCTGATCTGTGGTAGGGCTTCCGACCAAATAACCCTGAAATTTGATCAATAATTGTATTACAATCTTTTAAAGCGAACCAATTTAATTTCTATTTTAGTTTTAATAGAAGCGAATATTAAATTAATGCTGGTACAAATAATCTTATGTACCGTGACATTCAAGTGTGGCTCCACGTGCGCATCATTATCTGGGGGCATGCTTGCAAAATTAGTTTCATAAGTCTCAACAAATTTAAATGCTACTGGCTAGATAATCAGTTTCTACGAAGACTCGAAGAGTATTAATTTTTCAATAATGAAAAACAAAGAAGGGGTAGAAATTATTTTTTTTTTGGATTGAATAATTAGCTATAATATGTAGGTCGTGTTAATTTTACCTTCAATAAGTCTCTTGGTAATTTTAGGAACAATGAGGCCAGAGTAAGAATCACCTCCAATGAACAATCGCAGGTTGAGATATTGTGAGTGTTTTATTAACCACTGCAAAAACATGTTCATCTTATTAGTTTTTTTTTGTACTAATTATTATTAATAATAATGAAAATGTCTTTGAATTGCTTCACAACACATGGATGTCAGGAGAAGTAAATATAAAATTTAAAGATGCTGTGTGAACTTTTTTATTTTCAAATTTTGCTTTGTGAGAGGCGGCAAAAGTAGTTTTTTTTTTTTTTTTTTTGGTATAAGAAGTAAAGCACAGTACAACTGCTGATTGAAAGGAAATAGAAAAAGTGAAACACCTCTCTTTTAAAGGAGCTAGTAACTAAAACAAAAGAATGAGTTTCAAAAGTGTTTATGTATGTAAGTTACAACTAACCTTTCTCACAAATTGAGAAGCTTCTTCTATAGATTTAGTATCAGAAGTTGACCAATCCAAAGATATTGAATAAGAAAAGCCAGTACCAACTGGTGAATCCACGTACACAAAACTAGCTGTCTGAAATAATATCAATACCATAACCAAATTAACATAATTATAACATTGTGTTGGATTGTCTACCCCTGGTGGATCAGGCCAATCTAAGCCAAATTAGAGTGGGGGCTTATATCAAAATATTGAGAAAGTTTGGGTCTTTGTGCGTACTAAAAACTGTGGCCATATGTGTAATATTTCCTTTTTTTCTTGTTATGCCATAGAAAGCCAGAAAGTAGGGAACCAGAAACACGGACTGTCTCTCCCGATTTTCCTCCCTCATGCACGTCCTTAGTGTACATAAGAGAGACAACTCCTTCCCTTCCTCAGTGTGAATATTTCTCCATTCTCTTCCTTTCTCTTGTGCATTTGATACGAGTCTGAATTGTACTATGACTCTGTTCCCGCATTTGATATCCCATTCAGCAAAAATACTACAGGCATGTCTTCCTCCGGGAACTTACACATTGATTGATAATAATGGAGAACATGTGTGTGTGTAAGATAATGAAATATAGATTATTGTGGTATTGTTACCTTTGTCCAAGTATATGGGTAATAGAGTAATCTTGGTAATCCTCCATTGTAACTGTGAATATCAAACTCCATAGGACCTGCACACAGATTTTGAACTTGCTCATCATATTTTGCTTTGGACAATTTCCACTCCATCCAACAAAAGCTATGGAGAAGTGTTGTAAGTTACTCAAAATATATACTCACAAGTCATTTATAATTAATTCAGTCGAATTACTAGAACTAAAGAGAGGTAATTAAATCATTGAAAAAAAAATTCAAGTCCATCTTTATTAAATGCTTACACTTTCTCTCTCATCTCTCGTGTAATATTTGTTTTGGTGAGTATGAGGAGTAGACCCGCTTATAATAGAGATATTTTCTTGAGAGTATTGAGGGCAAATTAAATGGTAAGCCCCAATCATAATTAAGTTAATATAGACACAAAATTAGAATTTAAATTTCCAACCACCTGTTTAAATGACAGGAATTCCTGCCACTTATTATGCCAATTTGAGTTGATTCATATGCAATGTTTTACTTTTTATTATACATTAAAATCCAAAAGCAAAAGGAAAACAAAAGAAAACTAAATTGAAACAAAGCATTGAGGTCACAATGGAGAGAATTAACAACCACATGATGAAAATCTGGTGAGTAACATTCTACTAATGGAAAATTACCGAAAGATAATTAAAATTAAAAGAAAGAGATTAACAATCTATCTTTTATATAAAAACACTTGTAAAAAGAACCATCAATTAATTTTTTTTTTTTTAGAATGTGATTTATATATAAGAGTGATGAGAGTATTAAGGATGTAAAAATATGTGGAAAAGAGAATAAAAAAGAGAGGGATTACCAATTTCATAAATAAGTCCATGGAAGGAAGAGCAACCAGGGCCCCCTTCGAACCAAAAAAAGAGAGGATCGGTCGCAGGATCTCCTTGGGACTCAATGAAGTAGTAGAATAGCTCAGAATCATTCACACTGATGTATCTGATGATCAACGAAACAAAAACGCACAAAACAAGAACCAATCAACACGCTTGCATGGCTTAACAAGTAAGTGGCTATAAAGAGATGAGTTAGAAATATAATCAAATTATACAAACCCAGTTTGGAGGTTGAAGGGAAGTTCACCGTCAAAGCCAGGCCAGTGCTAGACTGGCTCCCCACAAAATGCTACGTTTGCTGATAAAACTAACAGAAGAAGACAATGCAGAGCCACCCATTTTGGCGTCAGCATGATTGAAGCCATCAAGTTTGAGAGTTGGGTTGGAAGCAAGTGGTGGCCGGTTTAATCTTTAATTTAAATCCCTCTATACATATTACATACCTGAGAGAATGGTCCGACGTGAACAAGGCTATATAACAACTGGTCAACTCGTTATAGAATACAGATGTCGTACATGTAAAAGAATCTGAGAGAGGAAGTGGTAGGTGAAGTCGAAATTGGAACGGCCTGTCATGGGAAAAGAAGACGGAAGGGTAAAAGAGGGCACGAGCTTTATCACGTTATGAAGGTCGAAGGTGTGAAAGCCAACAAAAGTTCAAACAAAAAGCAATGAGCATTCAGCACCGTACTTCCACTGTTAACCGTTCTAGTGAGGTGGTTAGGTATTTTTGAAAAAAATACATATCAGGGTGTATTTACTCATGTCTCTATTATAAAATATATTCTAGACAAAAGTATTTGGTCTTTATTATAAGTTATTTAATGAAGTATTAATTAAGTTTTTCTAATATTATTCCTATTTAAAGTCATTAATTATGAGAGAGATTACAATTTGAATTTGACATTTTTTCAATTTAAATGTGTGTAAAATAAAAAATTTATTTAATTCTTAGGCAAATTAATAACTTAATCAATCTTTTTTCTTTTTGATGAGGTAATTAGAGATGTCTTATAATAAGAATTAAATTTGAAGGAATAGAATTGAAAAGTCAAACATTTTTTTTAACAATTTTTACAAGCTTAGGAATATTAATTGTTATTCCTTAAGAATTGTGAAATTGATTAACTTTGTCCTATAATTAAAACATGAGAAGTATATATTTAAATAGACTTAACCAAGATATTTTGCGTTTGATCCATTGCTATACTATAAAGGTCTCTCACAAGGACCAAGGCCTATTGGTTTTAACAATGATGTTTTTTTTTTCCCAACTGAAATAAAAATAAACAGAATGACATTTATGTCCTATGATATTGAATCAGTGACAATTAAGTCTCAGAATATTTTTTAAAAAAAATTAAGTTAAAACTATCAATTTAAATAATTGCTAGTTCAAGAGTTTAGAATGCAAATAAGAATGTAAGTATTAAATGTAATTTTTAAATTGCAACAAGAATTTTTGTTTATGATGATTTCAATTGATATTTACAGTTCATTAATTCAATTTTTTAGACCTAATATTCTTCCACATAAATATTCAATAACGAATTAGGAAGATACATGAGATAATTAAAAATACCTTATATATATACTCCATCCGTTTAAAAATGTAATACATTTTTTAAGGAATTGAATGTTCAAAAATATAAGATATTTTTAGCGTTTCGAGATGTAATTATTACATTTTTTTAAAAAATATCCTTATTAATAATGACTTTATATTTATTGTAAAATATTTAATAGGAGTAAATATGAAAAGATGGAGTTAGTTGAAAAATAAGTAACTACTTTATTGGGATGAGATTTGATTAAAAATATCTTATATTTTTTAACAGAGGGAGTATATACTTGTACCAAAAAATACCTCATTTTTTTAAATAAAAAAACCTTATATTTAATATTAAAGAAAGTAAATTCACGCATGCAAGCACATTAACGTCTATGCACAGCCCATACACTGCTAATTTCCCATAACCTTTTGGCGAAAAAACTTCAAGGCATTAAATATTAACCAAACACGTTAATCTGTATTTCGTCCATGCCATTTGAATAATTACTGCATGCTAAATATTTAGATATGGAAGGAGCATGGGAGATTTCTATGTTTCTTCCTATCTCAAGTCATATACATTTGAAAGAGGAAATTACTCTCAAGTCTTACATAAGTCTTACATAAGCAATCTAAATATGAAAAAATTTTATGAAATCACAAAATTATTTTGAAACCAGGTATTCTTTTTTCAAATTGTCAAATTTATTATATTAAAATTGTTAATTACTGCAGGATTGTTCTTAGTAGAATTGTATAGTTAACAACGAAGCAATAATAATTAACAACTATCCGGTAACAATTAATAATTTAAATAAATGACATGCAATTTTAGAGTGATTAATTACTTTTCTTATTTAAAAATATAAGACATTTTTTGAGAGGTTAAATATTTAAAAATGTAAGATATTTTTAATCTTTTAGTGTATAATCATTTCTTTTTTCTCTAAAATATCCATTTTGAATAAATCACTTATATTTATTTTAGAGTGAAATACTATATTAAATAAATATAAATATAAAAAGATAGAATTATTTTAAAAATAAATAATTATTTTATTAAATATAAAATTTAGTTAAAAATGTCTTATATTTTTACATAGAGGGAATATGTGATTTCATGGATTTTTTTTTTTTTGTATTTATAATGCTTTTGTCATTAATCAAACTTTCACATATTGATGTGCTAATCCTAACCACACAAGCATAAACAAAGACTCTCCTACCTCTGTTTCCCCTGCTTTTTGTATCAAAAAACAGAGGGCAACAACCACGGTAAAAAAAACTTCACCTTTTCATTCACTCTTTGCTTGTAAGTTTGATTTCAAGCTAATGTTTTTATCTATGTACGTGTGTGTGTGGAGCTTCGACGACGGACGATAGTAAGATGTGTGGGTAACGATTTAATGCATAAATGAGTAGAAACAATAATACATACATTATTAGCATAGACCAGTGACGACAAGATGGGTTGTACGAAATTATACAAAATCTAAATTCTTAATTAAAAACAGAATCTGAATTCTTAATCATTGAATTACATTACAACGGATAGAAATGGAGCCACCTTTGAAACATCTCATAACATTCTCTACGGTAATATTCCGGAGCTGTGTGACCACCACCCTGAACAATTTAAGTAATTATTAGTGTCAACTCACATTATACATTTATATAATTTGAAAACTAAAAATTATATAAAAAATCTTAAATCTCAAAATAATGCTATATAGTACAGCCACATTCTTACCTTTACTGTTGCATATGTTAATCGATATCCATACGCCTCCTCATCGAACTTTTTGGTATATCTGATATTATACGCAGACACATTAAAAAGAAGCACGAACAGTTGAACAATAATTAATTAATTATTCAGAATTTAATTCGAAGTTGAAACAAATTGATGGGACAATATACATACCCTGCAACTTGACCATCCACGTACCAAGGTCTCCAATTATAAGAGACAGTCAAGTTTAGAATCTTAAGCCATGTTTGTGTTGCCACGATTGGCACCACCAAGTCATGGTCTCCACTGTGCCAATTAAATTAATAAATCACTCAGATTTTGATAAATAATTAAAATTAACTGAGAGTGAAATTAATTAGATAAATTACACTTCGAGAAGAACTTCCAAGGGCCTCTGACTGAGCCACATGTGAACATCAATAACACTCTGAACATCTTTTGTGTATGAGATTGTCCGGTTGCACCTTGACCAGAACTTCACTTTACCCTTTTAAAATTACATAGTAAATTATAAATTAGACTTTCTCAGACACATTAATTGCTCAAATATGTACATTAATTTGTGTGGGTGTGACATAGATACTTATAATATGTATATATACCTTTCTAACGTGCAAGGCTTCTTGGACACCAGGATCATTTGCCCAATTGTAAGCTAATGCGTAGTTAAAAGCCTATGCAAAACAAGACAACCAAGTTTCTTGTCATATAAATTAAAGCATATTATTCTCTTCAAACTAAAATTGGAAAAATGACTGTACAAAAACACTAGGAAAAATTATATTTAAGAACCCTTTAAGATAATTAATTAGAATTAAGGACTCTAAAATTTTAAAAAAAATATGGTCCTTGGTTGAAATTAAAATTTTTCCACAAGTGAATTTCTTTGGTACCCATCTTCCATATTTTCAGCACTCAGTTTTAAAGCTTTATGTGCTTGTATTTCACATTTTTATTATTTATCTTTAGTATTCTTTGTACTCAATTTTTTAATTTTTAATAGCCACCTTGGACATTTTCAATACTTATTTACTATATTTTAAACACTTAATTTTTTATTCTTTTTGATATTAAAAATTGCATAAAAATGAGTATTGGAAATATTTAAGGTGACTTTTGAAAAAAATAAAAAACTAAATACCGAAAATACAAATGATGAGCACCGAAAAATTAACTCAAAAAATTTTTAATTCCCATCAAAGAGCATGACTCTTATCTAAAAGTTCAAAATTTAAAGGTCGTTAAATGTAATTGACATTTTTAGTGAGTCTGTAAATGTCATTTTCCGAAAACGTTAATTTAACAGTATCAAAGGAAGAGGAAAATAAGAAAATCAACTAATATTATATTACTTCCGAGTATTTAAAAAAAAAAACAACTTAAAATTTACCCGACACCAAAGATCTGAGGGAACTTTTGGTGGTGAAAGCAGAAATTGTCGTTCATCACTACTTTGATCTGCAAGCGATCTTCGAACACTTAGTGGGAGTTCTGGCCTTGGAGATGCAAATGCACAATTTGGTTCCAATGGGCAATTAGTCCATATTTCTTCTATGTTCTGTCCATTTATTCACAGTATAATCAACATTAGTATTTCTTAATTCTGGATTGCTCATTTGTTGTTATTCAAGAAAATCCAAAATTAATTAAATATTAAGATTCACCTTTTCGTATTTGGAGAGAGCAGTAAGACAAGCCGTGTTGGATGGATCCACGTCAACAAAGTTCTGCTTGCAACTTATTTTCAGTTCCTGTTGGCAAACATCGTGATTAACCAAACACATCATTAATTTTATTTGTCTATGTATGATTATCTTTAAATATTCAAATAATAAATATAAATAATTGTTTTTAAACCTGGTAGAGTTGGTCTGATACAAGAGCCAATCGATGAGCTAAGATGACTCTTGAATTCACGTTGATATGCTGATCTGTGGTAGGGCTTCCGACCAAATAACCCTGATAAATAATTTTATTAACTTTTAAAGAGATGCTAATTTAATTTCTATGTTAGTTTCAATAAAAGCGAATATTAAATTAACATTGATGCTAATAAATCTTATGTACCGTGACATTCAAGTGTGGCTCCACGTTGGCATCATTATCTGTGGGCGTGCTTGCAAAATAAGTTCCATAAGTCTCAATAAATTTAAATGCTACTCGCTAGATAATCAATTTTTACGAAGAATTTGCGGCTATCAGTTTTTCAATAATGAAAAAGGAAGGGGTAGAACTTTTTTTTTTTTTTTGGGGATTGAATAATTAGCTATAATATGTAGGTCGCATTAATTTTACCTTCAATAAGTTTCTTGGTAATTCCTGGAACAATGAGACCAGAGTAAGAATCACCTCCAATGAACAATCGCAGATTGAGATATTGTGGGTGTTCTATCAACCACTGAAAAAACATATTCATCTCGGTAACATTAGTTTTTAAATTTTAACTAATTACTAATTATTATCAATATAATAAAAATATAATTGAATTGATTCACAATACATGGATGTCACGAGAAGTAAATATAAAATTTAAATATGCTGTATAAACTTTTTTATCTTCAAATGTTGCATTGTGAGAGGTGGTAAAAGTAGTTTTTTTTTTTTCCTGGTATAAGAAGTAAAGCACAGTACAGCTACTTATTGAAAGGAAAAAGAAGTAAAACATATCTCTTTCAAAGTAGCAAGTAACTAAAACAAGAACGGGAGAAAATTACAGACATGTTTTTAATTTATATCAAATACAATATAAATATAAGTTGGATTATTAATTTATAAATTGTTTTACTTTCAGTTGATCCAAATTATGTTTATCAGTTTCAGAAGTGTTTATGTATATACATGACAACTAACCTTTCTCACAAGCTCAGAAGCTTCTTCTGTTGATTTAGTATCAGAAGTTGACCAATTCGAAGATGTTGAATAAGAAAAACCAGAACCCACGGGAGAATCGACATACACAAAGCTAGCTGTCTGAAATAACGACATCAACACCATAACCAAGAAACATAATTATAACATTCATTGATAATAATGGAGAATATATAAATAAATATATATATATATATATATATGAAAATGTAAGACAGTAAAATATAGAATATTGTGGTACCGTTACCTTTGTCCAAGTGTATGGGTAATAGAGTAATCTTGGTAATCCTCCATTGTAGTTGTGAATATCAAACTGTATAGGACCTGCACACAGATTTTGAACTTGCTCATCATATTTTTGCTTTGGACAATTTCCACTCAATCCAACAAAAAGTTATGGGAAGTGTTGTAAGTTACTCAAAATTTACTCACAATTTACTCACAAGTCATCTATAACTAACTAACTTGAATCATGGAAACTAAGGAGAGATAACTAAATTATTTTTTAAAATTTTTAGTTTATTTTTAGTAAGTGCCTACTTTTTCTCTCTCATCTCTCATGTAATTTTTGTTAGTAAGTATAAGAAGTAAACTCTGTTGATAATAGTGATTTTTTCTTCAGAATATTGAGGACAAATTAAATGATTAACCACTCACAATTAAATTGACACATACAAGAACTTATATCATTTACATCAATTTGAGTTGATTCATTTATAATATTTTACCTTTTTTTTAACATCAGAAAAGGAAAGCAAAAGAAATTTAAATTGAAGCAAAAGTATTAAGGTCACAATGGAGTAAATCAGCAGCCACATGATAAAATCCGGGTGGGTAACATTTTACTCTACTAGTAGAAACTTACGGAAAGATAATTAAGATTGGAAGAAATTGATTAATAATCCATCTTTTATATAAAATGGTTTGTAAAAAGAACCATCAATTAATTTTTTTACAGAATGTGATTATGAGACTAATGAGAGTATTATGAGTGTATATATATGGAAAAGAGAATAAAAAAGAGAGCCAGGGATTACCAATCTCATAAACGATTCCACTCAAGGAAGAACAACCAGGGCCTCCAGTGAACCAGAAAAAGAGAGGATCAGTTGCAGGATCTCCTTGGGACTCAATGAAGTAGTAGAAATATTCAGAATTATTCACGCTGATGTATCTGATGATCAACGAAACAAACGCGCGCAAAACAAGGACCATTAATGAACACGCTTGCTTGGCTTGATAAGTAAATGGCTAGAGAGATGAGTTAGAAATATAATCAAATATACAAACCCAGTTTGGAAGTTGAAGGGAAGTTCACCGTCAAAGCCAGGCAAATGCTTGACTGGCTCCCCACAAAATGCTACGTTTGCTGATAAAACTAACAGAAGAAGACAATGCAGAGCCACCCATTTTGGCGCCAGCATGATTGAAGCCATCAAGATTGAGAGAGTTTGGGTCGAAGCAGCTGGTGGTTTAATATGTTTAAATCCCTCTATATATTACATACCTGAGGGATTTGTCTGACATGAACAAGGCTATATAACAACTGGTCAACTCATCAAAGAATACAGATGTCGTATATGTAAATAGAATCTGATAGAGAGAGACGTGGTAGGTAACGTCGAAATTGGAACGGCCTGTCATGGGAAGGCAAGACAGAAGGGTAAGAGAGCACGAGCCTTATCATATTTTTAAGGCCAAAGGCTCAAAGATGTGAAAGCCAACAAAAGTTCAAAGAAAAACCAATGAGCATTCAGCACCGTACTTCCACTCTTAAGACAGTAAAGAGAGTAACACTGATATGGTCGCTTACCATCTTCTAAATACTCCCTCTCCATGCTTATTATAAATTATTTGATAGGGTTATTAAGTAAGGTTTTTTCAAAAATATTATTCCTATTTCAAATCATTAATTGTGAGAGACAACTTAATGAAAATTTAAAAATTTTATATTTAAACACAAACAAAATTAGAAATTTATGTTACCCTATTTATAAATTATTTGATGGGGGATTGATTAATTTTTTTTTAATATTACCCCTAGTTAAAGTTATTAACTAACCAACAAAGTTGGGTTTAGTGGAAGGGGCTAGTTCCTTACAACATGGTGAATTAAAATTCAAATTCTCAATAAAAGATGTGCCCACAATTAGTGCCTAACAGTGTCTCGAACATAATTGCCTCTAATGAGAGAATATATGTGATTGTGAGCAATAAAAATAGTCATTAGAACATAATGCAAATTTAAAAATTTTATATTTAAATACAAAACATTAGAAACTTATTTTATTCTTAAACAAAATTAATGACTTAACTAACCTCTTTCTTTAATTCCAGTGAGGTGGTTAGGTATTTTTTTAATTTAAAATACAGATTGTAGAACACTTCCTCCTATCCCTATTATAAGACATATTCTAGAAAAAATATATGGTCTTTATTATAAGTCATTTAATGAGGTATTAATTACGTTTTTTTAACATTATTCCTACTAAATCGGATGAAATAATTAAAGGTGTTTTATGATGGGGATAAAAAAGAATATGTCTTTTAAACTCTCTCTTGTCCTAATTATATAACAAAGTTTTAAAGCTTTATTTGGCCTTTGGTATGGGGGTAAATATATACTCCTTTTATTGAAAGATATAAAGCATTTTTATAGGAATTATATGTTAAAAAAATATAAGACATTTTTAGTGTTTTAAGGTATAATTAATGTGTTTTTTTTTTTCAAAAGTTCCCATAATAAGTAAATCACTTGATATTTATTTTAAAATAAAATACTCTATTAAATATGTAGTAAATATAGAAAGATGATATTAGTTTAAAAATAATTAAATGTTTTATTAAATGATAAATTCAGTTAAAAATGCCTTTGAGTTTGAACAAGAGAGTAATTAATTTTTTTTTAAAAAAATATTGTCCCTCTTTAATTGCATCAAATTAAATTCCTATATGTACTTTATTGTAGTCATTTATTTTAGTAAAAGATAAAATTAAAATTGAAAAGTCAATCATTTTTAAAAATATTAATTTTAAATATTTTCTATTAAAAATTGTGAAATTAATTAACTTTACTTATAATTAGAACATGAGGGGTATATATTTAAATAGACTTGGACGAGATATTTTGTTTTTGATCGATTGCTCTATTATAACGGTCTCTCACAAGGACAAAGGCCTATCGGTTTTAACATTGATGCGTGGTTTTGTTTTGTTTTTTGTTTTTTGTTTTTTTTTTCCTTCGCAGCAACAGAAACAGAAACATTAAATGATGAATTGGGAAGATGAAATGCAGATAGGAGCAACGATGGACTAGAACGTCAGATCCCCAACGGTCATTTTTTTAATTTCGATTTCGACGTAAAGGTTTGTGTTGGTGGCCACGTGACCCAGCAGAGATTCGGTTTCATAGAAGATAAGGTGGGGCTTGTTTGACACTTTTACCCATCACAAATGACAAGTTGACAACAATTCATGTCTCTCTATTTCCGGATGTGTCTATATGATCGTTTGATTTTCGTTCTCCACGTGTGATGACTTGCGCCTTTTCGTTGTAGCTTTATTCCGTTTTTTTTTTTTTAAATCAAGTTGGAGCTTTATTCTTTAAATTAAAAGAAATTAGAATTTAAAAAATCTTAAATTTTTTGAGATGCTTATTTAAATTTAAAAAAAAATTAAAATATTAAAAACTAAACTTTTTTAAAGAATCACCGTCAAGTAAAAGCTTTTTTAAAAAAATTTCATAAAAATCTCTATTTTTAAAAAATATTAAAATTATTTTTAAAATTTAAACCAATGAGCTATGTCTATACTAAAACTGAAGAAATTTCAAAACACAATAATTCGAATACTCTTGTTAATTTAGGATTTATTTTCTAAATAATTTTTCAATACACTTGAGCTATATTTTGACTATATTGAAATATGTGAAAAATGTTAAATGAAAAAAAAAAAGAAGTGCAGCAAAATTTGTTAAAAATTTTAAAAATGTTAAATGAAAAACATTATATGAAATAAATTATATGTAACCTGAAAAAAATCACATTGTTTATAATTTTCAAATAGTATCATTTTCCTGGATCCTCGTGATATTGATATTGATGTTTATATGAATTTACATTTAATGAGTGATTTAAATTTACAAGACTCAATGAATATCTCAACCCTTACTCATAAATCTTAAATTTTATTCATATTTAAAAATTATTAAAATACATTTCTCTCAAAACATTTAACACAATCCCCCGTGATGAAATTATTCATCACATATGTTATTCAGTTTCATCTAAAATTTTGATATTTGTTACTTCCTAAGTATTAATATTAAAATCTCTTATATTTGTTTGATTAAATCAAACGGTTATTATTATGTCATGTAAAAAACTCAATGAATAAGTGAATTCAAGTCACTCATTAAATTTAAATTCACTTAATATGGGTCACATTATTTATTTATATGTAGGAGTATTTAATTGATAAAAGTCTGGTATCTACGAAGTGTGTGAGAGTGGTTGGATGTTTAAAACATATGAGAGGCAAAGACCAAATATACTCATTCCATTAAAAAATTATAAAATATTTTTTGGATAGTTAGATGTTTAAAAATATAATATATTTTTAATATTTTTAAAATACAATTAATGTATTTTTTTAAAAATATCCATGATAAATAAATCATTTTATATTTATTTTAAAGTAAAATATCCTATTAAATAAGACTTAATAAGTAAAGATAATTTTAATTTAAAAATAATTAACTATTTTATTGAGAGTAAGATTTGGTTAATAATTCTCTATATTTTTAAAAGGGGGAGTATTGATTTAATTTAATTTCTGTTCATATGGGTCGCATTATTTATTTATAGGGGTATTTAATTGGTAATAGTTGGCATCTATGAAGTATCTGAGAGTCAAAAAACCAAAAGTGACACTCCCCCTCCCTGCTTTTAAAATATATTAATTGAATTAGAATTGAATCATCATATATGATTTCAATTTGATCAGACCATAAATTTTGATACCGTAACGGATACATCTGTAAAAAAAAAAAGAAATTAAACATCATCACTCAACAAATATCATAACAGTTTAAAGGGCAACCACAAAGAACACGTTAAAGAAGAAAAAAATTATCTAATGTTTATTAAATATGGTAAAAGAAATATTGCCCTTTTTTTTGGGGTAGGGAAAGGGCCTAAGGCCCAATACAACAATATTCCCTCCTCAACATTGAAGTAAAGAAGGTCAGCCCGTGACATTATTGGGCGTTGGCCCACAATTAAACAATATAATCCTCTGGACCACAAGAAAGCCAGGTTTGGTTTCACCGCATTGAGATCTGGACTGTCTAACTCCATTATGGATAGTTTAGATTTAATTTTTTTTAATTCTATGACTTTTAAATGATAAAATTATCTATTAAAAAGGAATAATTAAAATATTTTCTTTTAGATTATGTATTTACTAAAATTATTTTGATTTACTTTTTTAATAAAAATATAAAGTAAACATTTTACTTCTAATTGAGCAATAAAAGTTGGATTTTTAATTTGATAACCATAGACACTAAATGCTTATATCATGTAAGTTGTTAAAATTCATATTAATGATTTAAATAAACTTATTCATTTATTAATTTTAAATAAAATATAAATTTAAAATTAATTTTTTGAATTTTAAAAGTTTAAATAATATAAATATTAATACAGTCTTTGAATCTAAATTCATAAAAATTTTGCATCTTATCGAAGGCATGGGACAATTGAACTCCACCTTTAATTTATTATATTAAACTCACCTGTAGAACCACCCAACTCCCAGCCCTAACAGCTGGAAAATTTTAAACCAAAAAGCAAATTCCACGCCAAACCCGGAAGGACATTAAAATTTTACATGCAGATTGAAATGTCATTCTAGGCGTCTTACAACTCAATGCTGCTATTGCATGCCATGATGATTTTATTATATTTTAACACGTTTTTAAAGATTGGCTGCTAAATGAATGCTTTTAACACGTGTTTTGAGCAAACTATCAAGGTTTATGTAATCAATGTTTCATATACGCAACACCCAAGGAACGTACCAGGGACAATGGACGGGACAAGATTGAATTTTGATTTAATTCAAAGTGTAATCTCTTTTATGATAAAAAAAAATAGACTAAGTAATCTGTAACCTGGCATGATTCAATTGTAAGTTGTAACTCAAAGATTAATAAAATTAAATTTAATCTATAGGATCAAGAGACTAATTTTAGTAGTCAAATATTCACATAACTTTTTTTTCTCTCTATAAGAAGCAACAATTCATTTTATCTTGTAAACTCAATTAAGATAATAAAAATATTTATAATCATAAAAAATTCATAATAATCAAAAACAATAACTATAACAAAAAAATATTTCAATTAAAATTCAAATAATTCAGATTCATAACTTTAAACTATTTAAATATATTAAAATTAAAAATTAAGAATTATTTTTATCTCTAAACTACACGCAAAAGTTCATAAATGATTTCAAATTTAATTATGAGTAATTTACATTTCTCAACTTTAAAAAATTTTTATTTGATCAGCATGTCCTTTCGTTTATTTTTTTAAGCCTGCTTTTTAAATTTTTTAATATTTTTATTATAAAATATAGCATTGTGGGCTTCACATTTCTTTTTATAATTTTTTTATCCTCTCATTCTCTCTCTTCTCTTTCATGCTGAAAACTTTCAAACATTATTTGATTGCTTGGTTAGGTGAAAGGGAGAGAAAATTTTTAAAATTTTTCCTTCCTTCTCCTTTAAAACCTCCCCTCTCAAATTGTGGGGAGCCTCCTCCCCTTTTCCTCTTTTTTTTTTTTTCCTTCTTGAACCAAACAGAGTCTCAAACACTTTGTACTGAAACTCCTTCTTTTATTTTTAACAATTTGATGATGGGGATTGATGAAGAATGACGAAGTGGGCAAGAGAGGAAAGAGGGGGAGGCAATAAAGGTAATGTCTTAGTTTGAACTTTATAGGAGAGGGGTGAGGGGAGGAAGGAGAGAGAAGGAGAGGAAAAAATATTAATAAAAAATTAATACTAAATAAAAAAGTAAAAAATTTGAAAGTAAGCGCCACTAAAAAATATAAACACAAGGAATGATGAGGTAATAAAATAATTTTTTTTGAAGTTAAAGAATATTAATAACTCATAATTAAATTTAAAATTATTTATAAATCTTCGCATACAATTTAAAAATAAAAATAATTCTAATTAATATAATTTTTTAAGTTTTATTAATTTTTCAAATCAATTTTTTACTATATCAAATTGGATTGGGTTTGTCCAGATTAGATTGGACAACCAAACTTCTATACAACCCACAATATACATAACACTAAAACCTCATTTCTTTTTCTTTTCTTTTTTATGGGTTAAGTTATATTAAAATGGTTTAAGCTTGTAATCTTTTTTACTTACACTGCAACACACTCTAATCCGGGTAACCTTCTATGCGATGATATCTTTTTATTATTATTATTATTATTATTATTATTATTATTATTATGTGTCTATGGTTGAATACAATCAGATATTAAATTAGGCACATCTCCTAACTAACATAATATTTTTTTAGTGTATGAGTACGTGTTAGGGAACACTTGTCTGTTTGGAAAATATTAATTACTTTATATTTCAATGAGAAAGTCGTTTAAAGATATCTTCAAGATATTAACAATCTGATGGGTTCAAAGCTCAAACTGAAGCAAACAAAATCGGCCGTAAAAGTGGGCCCAGCTTAATTGACGGCCTTGGTTTCATCAAAAGACGTAGCAGTCACAGCCTTTGACTTTGACTTTCTTCATGCCCTCAATGACTTTTCTTCAACTGTGCCTGTCATCTTTATGCAGGGCATGCTCACCATCCCTCTCAGAAAGTATTCAATGCCAACATCTTCAATCTCAAATCACAATCAAGCAACATGAGAACGAAGAATCATTCTTCACCATCTCTTGGGCTCGCTTTTGCAGTTGCAACATTGATTCTGACAGGATGGTTCAAAGAGATCAACGGCTCATATTTCAGGATCAGCGAAGCCACCATAGATGACATCCAGAAGGCTTTTGCAGAGAACAAGCTCACCTCAGCGCAGCTGGTAGACTTCTACATGGAGAGAATCAGCAGCTTAAATCCCATTCTTCGCAGCGTGCTGGAAGTGAACCCCGACGCTAGAGCTCAGGCGGAGGAAGCTGATCGGGAGAGGGGGCATCCTCTGCGTGCCTCCTCACGGGGACCACTCCATGGGATCCCGGTGCTGCTCAAGGACAGCATCGCCACCAAAGACAAGCTCAACAACAGCGCAGGGTCGTTTGCATTGCTGGGTTCGAAGGTTCCACGTGATGCGTGCGTGGTGGCAAAACTCCGGCGAGCAGGCGCCGTCATACTCGGCAAGGCTTCTCTCACTGAGTGGTACGGCACTCGCTCCGCCATCGTGCCTCAAAATTGGTGCGCCAGAGGCGGCTTTGCTCTGGTCTCTTCTCTTTCCTTCTTTCTTTCTCTCTCACCATCTTTTTTTTTTTTTTGACCAACTCTCTCCCACCATCTTTTGGTTTGGTAAGAAAATTTGTTCCTTTAAGAATTTGTACGTTTTAAAATAATTTTATAGCTAAGTTTTTAACACACACTCTTTTTAACACCTTTTTAAGTAAAATTTTAAATATTTCTTAAATATTTTGAGGCTGATTAATTATATATACTGATAATTTTAATCAATTAATTCAATGACAGTGTGTGTGCGTGTGTGAATTCATAGATTAAATTAAAACAAGCACTTCATAGGTTGACCTAATATTATATTGGAGACTGGTTAAAAACATTTGCGCGCAGGTTTATTTGTCCCAAACCAGGATCACATTTATTGTCATATAAGTATTTAACACATACACAAAAGTAATTGCTTCAAGTTTTTGAATTGGAAACATGCAGAATCCTTACGTGCGAACAAATGAGACATGTGGATCAAGTTATGGATCGGCAATATCAGTGGCTGCAAACATGGTTGCTGTTTCTTTGGGCACTGAAACTGATGGCTCCATCATCTGCCCGGCTGATCGCAGCTCCGTCGTTGGCATCAAACCCACTGTTGGTCTCACCAGCAGGGACGGTGTTGTCCCAGTTTCACCTCTTCAAGACTCTATTGGGTACATATATCCTAATACCTTCACAATATGCAGCTAGCGCAGCCTTGTCCTGCTTAGTTTGAAACAATTAATGAATATAGTAAAATTTTCATTGAATTGAATGTTTATACGATGACACAGGCCAATATGCAGAACAGTGTCAGATGCAGTTCATGTGCTTGACGTGATTGTGGGGTATGATCCCAGAGATGAAGCAACACATTCTGCTGCAGAGTATATTCCTCAAGGTGGTTACAAGCAGTTCCTCAAGAAGGAAGGACTCAAAGGAAAGAGACTCGGAGTTGTGGGGAATCCATTTTCTTTACCCTATAATGGATCCCTCGCCATTTCTGTCTTTGAAAATCATCTCAGCAAGATGAGGTAGCAATACAAACAGTTCTAGCTATGTCATTGATCTCTTGAGAGCTTCTTCATAGCCTAGATTTTTACTATTTTGTGAACATTGAAGGGAAAGGGGTGCTTTTGTGGTGGATAATTTAGAAATAGCCAATATCAGCATCATTCAGGATCCTTTTCAAAATGGAGAAGTTGTAACCATCTCAGCTGAATTAAAATTGTCCATCAACAACTATCTCAAGGAACTCATTTCCTCCCCCGTGAGGTCACTAGCAGATATTATTCAGTTCAACTTGGATAACCCAGATTTGGTAAGAAGAAAACACAAATTTCTCTATAGTTTCACTTTTGAAACTTCTCCCGGACCTGATATATATATATATATATATATTGCAGGAAAAGACCAGAGAGTACGGGCAGGATTTGTTTATATTATCAGAGAAGACCAATGGAATTGGTGAGAAAGAAATGGAGGCTATGAAGAAGATGGCTCAGTTATCTGAAGAAGGGTTTGAGAAGATAATGAAGGAGAATGAATTGGATGGGTTGGTGACGTTAGGATCTGATGCTGCTACAATGCTAGCCATTGGAGGGTATCCAGCGATCACAGTGCCAGGAGGGTACGACCAATCTGGAATGCCCTTTGGGATATGTTTTGGAGGCTTGAAAGGATCTGAACCAAAACTCATTGAGATTGCTTTTGACTTTGAGCAATCCACTAAGGCAAGGAAGAAGCCTCCTCCTCTTCACAAGAGTACCGTCTGAAATTGCATATGTAGCTGCAAGTATACGTTACCTACGGAGAGATTATTTACTCATCCCGTGAGAAATAAACAGATGTATTGTTGAGTTATAAAATAAAGAATGTTGGATGTATTATGAAATTAAGAATAAATAATTACATGCACTTTAAATTCAGAATATATTAAAATATTAATACTATTTTTCTAATTTTATACTTTGTGAGATCTACTATCATTTAATCAAAAGAATTATTAACAAGCAATTTAAACATGCATGGGTTCCCAGTAAAATTTTATATGAAGGTTGATAAAGGAAGTGGGGGTACCAGAAGCGCTGTAGACAAGACTTCCTATATCAAGCTCTTGGCACCATATTATATTATATATCCTCATTGTCAACAACAGAATTAAGAAACCCACTATCTAAAGACTGTAGCTGATTAATTTTCATGATCGTTGCTATGAACAGAATTGTATTCCAAGGAAATATAAAAATACTACCCAAGACATACCAAAGTCAAAGCCATGTTCAAACTCAGATGACAATCCATCAGAAACATGGCAACCAAGCATTTGTCGCAATATCTCCTTTTCACTGTTTTCCTCGTTAAAGTCATTCTCACAGCAGGGTGGGTCACAGAGATCAATGGCTCAGATTTCAGCATCACCGAAGCCACCATTGATGACCTCCGCAAGGCTTTTGCAGATAACAAGCTCACCCACCAGCTGGTTGAGAGGATCAGGAGGTTCAATCCCATGCTTCGCAGCGTACTGGAGGTGAAAGAAACACATTGATCTTCAGCAGAGCATCTACCTCAAGGTGGTTGGTTGTGAATTATATTAAACTCTGTCCATAAAGGTGCGCCCATCTTAGAAGTGTGCTGTGATATCCAAAAAAGGAGACGTGGAACTTGGAGTCGTTGACTTTCTTCATCCGCTCGAATGACTTTAAAATCTGACATAAAGCATTCACCGCCATGATCTTAAAACTCAAATGATCACAACTAAAAGCATGAGAACGAAGCATTCTTCACCATCTAATGCGTTCGCTTTTGTAGTGATAATAGTGATCATCCTGACATGTTTGGTCAAAGAGATCAAAGGCTCAGATTTCAGGATCAATGAAGCCACCATAGATGACATCCAGATGGCTTTTGCAGAGAACAAGCTGACCTCCAAACAGCTGGTCGACTTCTACTTGGAGAGGATCAGGAGCTTCAATCCCATACTTCGCAGCGTACTGGAGGTGAACCCGGACGCGAGAGCTCAAGCGGAGGAGGCTGATGGGGGGAGGAGGGATCCAGTGCTTGCGTCCTCACTACGGGGACTGCTCCACGGGATCCCGGTGCTGCTCAAGGACAGCATCGACACCAAGGACAAGCTCAACACCAGCGCAGGGTCCTTCGCGTTGCTGGGCTCCGAGGTTCCACGTGATGCGCACGTGGTGGAAAAACTGCGGAGAGCCGGCGCCGTCATTCTTGGCAAAGCTTCTTTGTCGGAGTGGTACGGCACCCGTTCCACCATTATGCCTCGGAATTGGTGCGCCAGAGGTGGCTTTGCTCTGGTCTCTTCTTATTCCTTCTCTTATTTCTTTCATTTCACCATCATCGTTGCGTTTTTTTGTTTTTGGTGCATATCATCTGTTGCTTTTTTTTTTTTTTGAGCAAAAGGTTTTGTCGCTTTATGAATTTGTATTTTTAAGAATCTTTCCACCAAAAATAAGAATTTTTTTGGGTTAATTTTATTCTTGACCCTTGCGATCCAAAATTTGTCTTTTAATTAGTAGCTGAAAATTAAGAACTCTTGCTTAGTTGAAAAAGATCGAGGGAACGAGAGAGGGGGTAATTTTATCATTACTGTGGGGGGGGGGAGATGATTGTAAATTGACATATATCCTTTTACGTTATTTTACGTTTTTTATTTTATAAAAATATTTATATCATTATATCAGATTCTGTTTTTAATTTTTGAATCTAAAAATCTTTTACCTAATTTATTTATGATATTCGGCCAAAAAAGTTATTTATGATATTTTTTGTAATATTTTTTTAAAAAGGTTATTTGATTAATTTTAACATATTATCTTATTAATTTTACTATACTTTTTAATAGAAAAATATATCAGGGTTGGAATTGTGTGTGTGTGTGGGGGGGGGGCTGCTAGTGATAATCAACAGCAAGATAAGAAGTTGAGTTGTGTTTTTTATTTAACTGAAGCAGTGATATTCTTGAAATACGGCAAAATTAATAAGGATATTTTAGTTATAAAATTTTCCTCCCTGAAAATCCCAAATTGGGGGAACAAAATAAGGGGAGGAGAGAAGTTGGTCAAAAAAATTTAAGGAGAGAGAAAAGAGGGAGAGAAAATGGAGGGGGAAAAGTACGTAGGGTGAAATAATTTTCTCTCCTTTTATTCGGTAAAGTGAGGGGAAAAAAAGGAGAGAGGAAAACAGTTAATTTCAAATGAATACTATTTTTTTATAACATTCAAATGAGCAGTATTAATTTTTCTATTTTTAGGAAAATATGTCTACTATAAAACTTATCATTCTTCCATGATATTTATATAACTTTGTTATTTTTGAATATTGACAAAAAATATGAATATTATATAAACATTTTATTTTTGAATCCCCTAATTTTAAATACTCCTTTAATATTTTGAGGTTAATTAACTTGATAATCTTAATCAATCAAAGTCATAGAACAACATTCAGAGATCAAATGAAAGCAAATACTTGGAGCAGAACGTAGAAGCTTTAGTGAGTTGGACTGGTAATTAATAAAATTTGCGCTAGGTCGGATTTCGGGAAAGCGATTCAAAGTTTTTGCATCTGATGTGGAAACATGCAGAATCCTTACGTGAGAACAAATAATACATGGGGGTCAAGCTATGGATCAGCAATATCAGCGGCAGCAAACATGGTGGCCGTTTCTTTGGGCACTGAAACCCACGACTCTATCATCTGCCCAGCTGATCGCAGCTCCGTTGTTGGCATCAAACCCATCGTCGGTCTCACCAGCAGGTCCGGTGTCATCCCAATTTCATCTCGCCAAGACACTATTGGATATAGACACAGACACGGCTTCCCTTTGCTTGCTTGGTTTGATTGAAATGAAGAGTTATGCATTTGATCGACGCAGGCCAACATGCAGATTAGTGTCAGATGCAGTTCATGTTCTTGACGTGATTGTTGGGTTTGATCCCAGAGATGAAAAAACGCATTCTGCAGCAAAGTTTATACCTAAAGGTGGGTACAAGCAGTTCCTCAAGAAGGAAGGACTGAGAGGAAAGAGATTGGGAGTTGTTAGGAATCCATTTTCCAAACCGTATAATGGATCCCTTGCCATTTCTGGGTTTGAACATCATCTCAACACCATGAGGTAATTAGTAATACAAATAACAATAATCTGTTTTAGCTTTCGTCTGTTGTCAGTTTTGATTATATATATATTGTGATGTGATGATGTGGAAATTGAAGGGCAAGGGGTGGAACTGTGGTGGATGATCTGGAAATAACTAATATCAGCATCATTCAGGATCCTTTACGAAGTGGAGAAACTGTAGCTCTCGCTGCTGACTCAAATTGTCCATCAACAATTATCTCAAGAAACTCATTTTCTCCCCCGTGAAGTCACTAGCAGATATTATTCAGTTCAATCTCGATCACCCAGATTTCGTTACCATCATATTCACTTTTCTGTATATATATATATATATATAGCAGTAAATACATATGATGAGCTGCAATATTTGAATATGCTGCAGGAAAAGACCAGAGAGTTCGGGCAAGACTTCCTTTTTGTGTCAGAGAAGACTAATGGGATTGGTGAAGAAGAGCTGGAGGCTATAGATGGGTAAGTTATCTGAAGAAGGGTTTGAAAAGGTAATGAAGGAGAATGAATTGGATGGGTTGGTGATGTTAGGATCTGATGCGGCTACAATGCTAGCCATTGGAGGGTATCCAGGAATCAAAGTGCCAGGAGGGTACGACCAATCTGGAATGCCCTTTGGGATATGTTTTGGAGGCTTGAAGGGATCTGAACCTAAACTCATTCAGATTGCGTTTGACTTTGAGCAGTCCACCATGGCAAGGAAGCCTCCACCTCCTCTTCACAAGACTGTCTGAACTGAACGATTGCATTTATAGCTGCCTTATAAGTTTTATACTCATTTGGTGAGACATAAATTAAACAGATGAATTGTTGATTTTATAAAAAGAAAAGAAATTTTTGGATGTATTATGGAATTTTGAATTAAATTACATGTATTATAAATGTGTAATAAAACTTTCAATCCCTCAACTTTAATTTTTTTCAATTTGGCCATTTAAATTTATCTCAATTATCGATTTGGTCTTTGTTATTTACTTAAGAGGTAACACTGTTAAAATTTGCTGACATTAATAATAAAATATGGATGATAGTTGTACAAATTAATGAAAAAAAAGTATAATTACGTAGGTAGAAAAAAAAATACTCAGAAATTAAAAAAAAACAAAAGAACTAACAAAACATAGCATAAGAGATTAGAATAAAAAAATTAAACAATATTGAGGATTAATTGTTCTCATTTTACTACATATATGCATGCTAAGTCATCAAAATACTATATATATTTAATTAATTGGTGAGTAAATTATTTTTTAAAAAATTTAAAGGACTAATATAATAATTTAACAAAATATAAGAGACCAAATTAGTAAAAAATTTAGTTTGAGGGACCAAATTGATAATTGCAACAAACTTAAGAGACTAAAAGTTTTATTATCCTCAGTATAAACTTATATATAATTGAAGATATATGTCACGAACACCATATAATATAATTAAGCACGATAGCAGAGCAATTTTAGTTCAAGACATAGCAAATTTATATATATAATTAATTTTTTTGGCCAATATATATATATATATATATAATTAATTTGGTGTGACTAAAAATGACTTGAAAGAAGAGTAAGTTCATTGAAGAGGTGGAAATGAAAGTTATCTGAGGAACAGAATTGAGATAATGTAATCAAATCAATTTACTGGGGAAACGCTTTGGGATGGAAGAAAAAGGATGAACTAGCATAAATTCAAAAACTTTCTGTATTCCAACTTATCCTCTCAGACTTCTAAGTGAGTA